TATATATGAGCTATTTGACAATGGGCACATGATGGCTAGGCTTGCATGGGTCAATTGATAGTGGGTTTGTGTATGTCAGGCGGCAGTGCGCGCTGGTGGGGTTCTCATGTCAGTGGCAAGCAGGGAGGCTAGTTAGTTGGCTCGAGTTGTGCATGCGAGAGTCAGTAGGAAGCAAGAGGGCAACGGGTTGGCATGTGTCACGAGCAATGTTGAGATGGTTGCAATTTAGTTTTTTGATTGTTGAAATTCTTGCAACGTGTATGTTTTTTATGATTCCAAATATTATTGTTTTAATCACTGTTTCTCCTAACATATTTTGGATATACTATTTTTGTTATTGTTTATGTGTACTAACATTTCAGGGAAATCGTACTCCAGATTGTTAAAGATTTCAAATCAAATTGGATTAAGTTTTATTATAATTAGAGTATGTACTTCTCTTTTTACTGAGTCCGAGAGAGTGCATTTATAATTAAGTAACTGTACACACACACACTGGTTGAGTGTTTAAAATTTATAATTTTTTAAACTGATTATACTATACAAAGTCATTTCATACGGGATGATTTATTCAGTTATTTTCACATGCGTGCAGTTAAACGAACTGCATGAAGAAAATCTTTCTAAGTGCCGATCGTATTGTACGAAGGGCTCTTCATATAGAAGACTTCTAGAGTATGAATTGGATAGGTCCCTTTTCCTCCCAATGAATTCAAAGATTTTTCTGAACTGTTCATATTGTACAATTCATTGTTTGTACATATGACATCTAAAGTATGAATTGGACGGATCCCTTTTGTCCAAGTGAAACTCAAAGTTTTCTAAATAGATCATACTGTATGATATCTTGTTCGTACAGATGACGTCTAGAGTATGAATTTGAAGGGTCCCATTTCGTCCCAACAAATGCCAAAATTTTTCTGAACAGATCATACTGTACAATTTCATGTTCGTACAGACGACGTTCAAAGTATAAAAATGTGGGGTACCTTTTCATCCTGATGAATTAAAAAAAATTCTAACTGTACGTACAATATGAACTTGGTTTGTATTGGACAATCATCATGTACGAAAAATTTTCATATAGATTTCCACAAGGTTCGTACATAACAATTTTTGAATTGTTCGTATGTACAAAAATATGATTGTATTGTATGATTATACACGATAAAAATGGAAACTTTCAATTTTATGGACGATTTTTCATGTCTTTCATATAAAAGGTCATTAGAAACTAACGTGAAAAGAGTTGTTCTTCATGAGTTTTCAAGAGCAAGTGAAAGAGTGAGTGTGGAAGAGTGTTTGAGAGAGACTTCTTATAAGTGGAGTGTGAAGGATTCACAAGGTTAATCTGGTACTCTATCGATACTTGGAGAGTGTGAATAGACGATGGCACTCTGCCTACACTTAGAGGGTATGAAAGGATGACGGTACTCTGTCAACACTTGGAGAGTGTGAATAGATGACAGTACTCTACCGACACTTAGAGAGTCTGAAATGATGATGATATTCTGCCAACACTTGGAGTGTGTGAACATACGATGGTACTCTGCCAATACTTAGAGGGTGTGAAAGAATGATGGTACTCTGTCGACACTTAGAGAGTGTGAACAGACGACGATACTCTGCCGACACTTGGAGGGTGTGAAAGGACGATGATTCTCTATCACATTGGGGATTGGTGGAATAGAGAAAAAATATAAAGGCTTCTCTGCCTTGTTGTGGGAGCAAAAAGAGAGTCGATTTTGATAATAGTGCAATACTTGAAAATGGAGTCTTCATGGAGTGGATGTAGGTCTTATTGGACCGAACCACTATAAATTTATATGTTAATTTATTTTTTGCATTTTTATTTTCTGCACTTTAGTATTTATGATTGAAAATTTTACTTTTGCAAAAATATAAATAATAGTTTTTTATTAAAAAATATAAGAAATTTTTTAATTATCAATTTACCCTTCTCTTAGTTAGCCTTGGGATAATTACATAGATTTAACAACCTATAAGGAATCAATAAGTGGTATCAGAGCCTTGTTTCAAAACTATAAGTTTAGACTACTTTTTTAAAAATGATTATAGCTATTTTTGAAAACTAAAATACACTTGAAGGGTATTTGATCACTATACCTCCGTTATTTGATAATATCCATTTTAATTTTTGGAAAACACGTATGTCGACATTTCTTCAATCACAAAACTATTGTATGTGGATTTTAGTTTATGAAAGGTATAATAGGCCAACTAGGCTTGTATATGGAATTAGAGTTAAAATATCTTTTGCTGGATTGACTATAGAAGAATGTGACTTAGTACAATTAAATACAAAATATTTAAATATTTTCTTTTGTACATTTAAGTCTGAAGATTACATGCGGGTTTTTACTTACAAAAGTGGAAATGATATTTGGGATAGGCTTTGTATTACATACGAAGGGACTAATGAAGTAAAACAATCTAGATTAAATATACTGTTACATGATTATAAATTGTTTCATATGAAACTCAATGAATCCATTTCTAATATATACACAAGATTCACTCAAATAGTCATTTCTTTGTATGCATTAGGTAGGGAATGAACGAATGCTAAAATGAGTAATACAATTCTTCGTTGTTTATCTACTATGTATGATGCTAAAATTATTGTTATTATAAAGTCAAAAGATTTAAAAGTGTATTCTATTGATAATCTTTTTGGATCACTAATTGCTTACGAGTAAGGAGTGACTCAAAGAAAGATTGATGAAGGAGAACAGCGAAAGGAGAAGAACATAGCACTAAAAGTGGATGACTCGGAGAGTGATCACTCATAACTTGAAGATGAGGATGATATTGCCTTGATGATAAGGCAA